CACACACACACACACACACACACACAATTAACTAGCTGACTGAATTATTATTATTATTATTATTATTACAGTTTTTTCCAACTGCTAACATCCCTTTGTCCAATCTGTAGTCACATTTTCAAAATTCTATACACAATTAGCACAACATCCGTCTGTTGTGACCATACCATTAACACAATTTGTGTTGTTTACACACAATATTCAGTCAATTAACACGTTTCTAAAATGCTTAAATTTTCTTTTCACACAAGCTTACCCCATACCAAAATCATGGATCTTTCTTATCTTTTTTACAAAAGCTTAGACACAGCATGTCAGAAATGAAGACCTAATATTCCAAACTTTAAATAGAGTGTAAAGCCTCTACTTCTGCAACAACAGCAGCTCAAAAGTATTGAAAGAAATCTCTCTATATAAAATATTGTAACAACTGATAAGCATTTTTAAGTAACATATCATAGAAATATTTAGAAACAGCTGATTCCAGTCTCAGTTGAAGGAATAGTCAGGTGTTGATGCTCTTTCCATTGTATCAACATAGAGTAAAAAGACCTCTTTGAATTTTTTTCTTTTTCTTTTTTTGATGCAGAACACAAAGAATCAAAGAGAGAGAAAAAAATAATGCCTGGGAGAGGAAGAGGAATAGTTGTAGGAGGGAGAGGAGTAGCTTGATTAGAAAAATGGAGAAGAAGAGGTAGGGGAGAGGAGTAAGAATGTGTGCTGGACTTTGCATTTTTATGTTTGTTTGTTTGTTTGTTTTTTTCCCCTTACACATGTGGAACCTATGAAAGCTTATTTCTGCCATGGAATATAAATGCTAAAGGGTAATTGTGACTTTTTTATCTCAAAGTTCTGACTTTTATTTCTTGCAATTGTGAATTTATTTATCAATTCTGATAAAGTCTGAATTGCAAGATGTAAACTCACAATTCCAAGAATAGAAGCCCAAATTGTGAGATAAAAAGGCCACAGTTACCATTTTTACTTTTTTATTCTGTGACGGAAACAAGCTTGCATAGTAACCGAAGGCCATGCATGTTGGAATTTTTGTTGATCACTGGCATCAGCTACCATGGGGGCACCATCCACATCCAACCCTAACCCACTGGAAAGCAATTTCAATCAAGGTTTCAATTGAATTTCTGCATAGGGGAACCTATTTTTTTCTATAATGACTAATTCAATTTTAGACAGTATGTTGCCAAGAATGAACACATTCAACACTTAAAAATGTAAAATGGGTTTCAGTTGAAGGTAACTAAATTACAAAAAACAATGGATTTTTATATTGTCTATATGCAGGTAGAACTGTAACATGACAAGTAATGCAGTTTTTGTAAAGTCATCAGCTGTTAGAATTTTGACAGTCACTGTGCTATGATTGACTATATGTTCCTGTTGGATAGAAAACCAGTGCTAATGTTTTGACCGAATGACTCGATTTTGAATCGGCTTTGCTGTGTTTTGATAGAGTTAGTATATGTAGAAAAAGGTATTCAGCATTTTGAAATGTAGAGTTTGTATTTATTTAACAAAATGTGGTTTTGGCCAGAAAATTAACTATTTGGCTAATTGTGTAATTGTGTGTTGCTGTGTTAAGAGTTTAGAAAAAGTACTTTAAGTATTGGTAAATGCTTGTTAAAATAAAAACTGTAACAGTATAGCACTTACCTAAATTTTATATGAATATGTGAACCTGGACCACAAAACCAGTCTTAAGTCGCTGGGGTATATTTGTAGCAATAGCCAAAAAAACATTGTATGGGTCAACATTATCAATGTTTCTTTTATGCCAAAAATCATTAAGATATTTAGTAAAGATCATGTTCCATGAAGATATTTAGTAAATTTCTTACCGTAAATATATCAAAACTTAATTTTTGATTAGTAATATGCATTGCTAAGAACTTCATTTGGACAACTTTAAAGGCGATTTTCTCAGTATTTTTATTTTTTTGCTCCCTCAGATTCCAGATTTTCAAATAGTTGCCAAATATTGTCCTATCCTAACAAACCATACATCAACGGAAAGCTTATTTATTTAGCTTTCAGATGTTGTATCTCGGACAAATATTGTCCTAACAAACCATACATCAATGGAAAGATTATTTATTCAGCTTTCAGATGATTTAAAAAATTTACCCTTATGACTGGTTTTGTGGTCCAGGGTCACATATCTCCCAGTAATATGTCTTAGTAAGATGGAATTTAAATTCTTAGTTTTATGATCAGAGCTCTGTAGTTTTTATTGTGGCGGGCAAAACATAATGCAACGCAATACAATGATGATTCAAAGATAAACATATAAACATTTATATTTTTCTATAACACGATATATGGATACTCAAGTAAACCTAAGCTGCTTCAGTTCGGCAAGTGTCCATCTTGAAATATCATTCTCATGTTTACTTTATAGAAATCAGTAGGGATTTTACAGCAAAAAAAACACAAAAAAAAACAGGTGTTGCCCTGACCTGTAGTGGGACTTTATTTATTTTTTTGTTATACTAAATGGCCTTTTACTTGCTAAAAAAATAAATAAAAAATAATAATAAAATAAATATAAACTATCAATCAGTCAACTGAAGGCTTGTAGAAGATTGTGTACAACAGGTTTTTTTTTCAGCAAAATTTTGATAATTTAGAGGCCTTAGAAATTAGCATCTCAAATATGATACAGTAGGCTCTATAGAGTTGAGATCATTTGTGGATTTGCATCTTATTATGAAAATAGGTGATCATGTAAAGGTTACAAATTAGTGCAAAATTATGCAATGCAAATGTCAGCATTGACTTTGGACATGCATATCCTTTAGAAAAGAGAACCTGGGGAAAGTGTAATAGGAATATGTTAAAGTACTAAAAATCTTTTCAGAGACACATGCTTCATAAGTGTTTCAGGTGTCATCACAGTCTTGGCAGGAGTAAATTAGCTCACGTTTGGTACATGTGGCACACGGCATTCAAAAGCAAGCAAGGTGTGAATTCTAAGGATGACGACACTTAAACATGTGTAAAGAGAGTGAGTCTATCAGTACTGTTATACTGTCGCAGGTCTGTTCTGATAGTGTCATGGACAGCAGAGAAAATAGAACACAAATACAAAATTATAAAAATGTAACCAACCACATTATGCATAGTGTAATTCTTTAGGATAGTTCACACAAAAATAATATTCTGTCATAATTTACATATTTGTTTCAGCCATTTTTGCCCATACAATGAAGGTCAGTTGGGTCCAAAACAACTTTTGACTTTTTATTGTACAGCGGGGAAAGAAAGGGGGACAGGGACATTTCTCAAAATATCTTCTTTTGTGTTCCACAACAAGTAAGTCTTATAGCTTTGGAACAAGGTTAGGGTGAGCAAATGATGACATACTGTTATGTTTTGGGTGAATTTATAGATAGAAGAGAGGAAAATATATAGGTTTATCAACCTTTAAAAGGGAGGACACTTTTATCTCTTTCTGACACTGAAGGCTATGAGTTCAATCAAACTGTGATTTGGTTCTACCAAAAGAACCAACGTTGTCAATAATATCATAATTTTCTATGAGAAAATTAAAACATATTACATGGCATTGTATTGACATTTCATATAAACAAAACCAAAAATAGCAGCAAAACAAGACAAGTCGTCCAAGTCGTCCAAACTGTCCAAGTTTCCAATAGCTTATTTTATAAAGCATCACAACACAACCAATGACACCATGGAAATAATATTAATAATATGAATTCTTTCAGATGAATAGGTCCTTGCGTCTAGACGTGTCTGTGGTGAAGACTCTCAGTTATTAAACAGCAGTCCTTTCACAGACTTGTAGCCTACAGCGCTCGACGGGGGCCGATAATTTCAGATCTGTCACTCATGATGAGTGACACGTCTTCTCCATCAAGAGCTTGTACATGGGCTAGCGCTCATTTTCCTCATGCTGATTTAAGATTATGCATAAATGAACGTCTACAGCGGATGAGCTATCAGCCAACAGGCTCTACAGTATTATGGCTCAAACAAGCTATATTTTAATTCTAATGAGGTTACATGTACAAGACCTTAACAGATGAATAAAGCAGAATGTCATACATTAACTGACTAGAATGGGTTACATTTAACCCTGCATTCTGTTCTAATGTGCACGTTTTAAAATGCCATCCTTTCCATGGACCCTTAGGAGTGGACTGCCACTGCTTCATCCTGAATCCTGATAATTATCACACCTTCAAGCAAAACATGTACAGTCACAGAGCTAACTGCGCTTCAGCTGGGATTTAGACTCACCTTCGGCTGGGCTGGACTCTCCTATCATTTTTCCTCCATGAGATTCTGGGTTTGGGTGACGCACGTGGACGGCACTCCAGAGACACGTCTTTTCCAACGGTTGCAATGAGCCGGAAAGGGTTGGTGCTGAACATGGGAGCTGACGCTGTTTATGAAAACAAACACATAGTTTCACCTTAAAGGATTTGTTCAATTAAAAATGAAAATTGTGCTATCAACTCTTGTCATAGGACTGAGCATCAGTGATCATACCAAAAAAACTGACAATTAAATACAAAGAAACTGAAAAAAAAAAAAAATTTGAAAAAAAGACAAATTAAAAAATCACGCCACTAGTACACTATTATTTCAAATGGATAGTTCACTCAAAAATGAAAATTCTGTCTAAACAGTTGACTTCTTAGCCATTGACTTCCATAGTATGGAGAAAAAAATACTATAAAAGTCAATGGCTACATCAACTGTTTAGTTACCAGCATTCTTCAAAATATCTTCTTTTGTGTTCAACAGATGAAAGAAACTCATACAGGTTTGGAGCAACCTGAGGGTGAGTAAATTATGACAATTTTCATTTTTGGCTGGACAGCTGTCTGGAACACTTGATTTTAATTGGTCAATTGCAGCACCGAGCAGTAAAATACCAGCTATTTTTGTATAATGACAACAACATCAACCAAAAAAGAAAACTGAGCCATCAACTCTTATGTAGTTTAATCTATGCAACAAAACAGATACATTTCAATGTATGTATTGGTAATTGTTTCCATGCAACATGAGTACGGACCATGTTTATAGTGCTTTTTTTGTCATTTAGTCCTCATTTACGTTCATTATACTGTATATAAAATATGTGATTTTGTCTTTTGTGTTCCACAGTAGAAGAAATTCATAATGGTTTAAAATGAGATGAATTGACTATTTTAAATCATTTAAGGGACCAGAACAAACTTATAAATTGTATACACAGTATATAACAATCTAATTTGTTATATGCAATGCATAATTCACACACTTGTTCAACAATGTAATTAAGCTGGCACTGTTCAACTAATGACATGTGCATACTTTTGTAAATATTCACATGTGACACCATTTATCTTGCCTCTTTGTATAATTCGTAGAACTACTGAGCCCACAAGAGCAGTAGGAAATGAATAAATGAGCGATTTTTTAATAAAATAACGTCTGTTTTCAGAGACAGGGGATTTGTGGGACTCTAAAGGGAGATAAAGGTTTCTGGAATGAGTGTAATGATGGCATTGCTGTCGTTCTGAATGATGGGTTCATAATTAGTAGCTTTGTTGTTATGCGTGACGGTCTACCAGAAGTAAAACATTTCCAGGCTAAAATGGATAAAAAATAATTCAGCCCTCGACAAGCGCATTTGAAGATAATTACTGTTAAATGTCTAATCTGTCTGCAGGGAGTTTCTCGGCAAGCTGATGCATCCGCTGAGTAGAATACAATTGCTAAGTCACAAAATCAAATGCAGTTTAGTGCTGATGTTAATGCAGTGATTGTTAAGCAGGAATCCGAGGCCCAATAGGGGGCTGAAGCAAACTTACAAGGGGGCCTCAAAAGTTATTAAAATTCTTTAAAATGAGGCAAAGCAAGTGTAAAAATATGCTAAAAAAATCATTCCAAACTTTTCTTTAATCTTTAATTCCTAATTTGTGTAAATGGGGAGAAAAAAGGACTGGCGTGTTAAAGTGAAGATGGAAATATCATAATTTGGAGTGTTGTCCGAACATTAGATACAATATGAAAATAATGTTCCATATTATCATTTTGCAGACATTATAGCAGCATGTTCACAAGAAAAAAAATTAACTACATTTACACAAATAAACCTGTTCAGAAGCATCCGTTACTGATTCTTCATACTGTGTGTTGTTACCTGGATGATCCATGACTGTTTTTAGGTTTTGTGATAGTTTTCCAGAATCTTCTGTACATTTGACCACTTTCCAACGGTGACTGTATGGTTTAGAGATTTGTCTTTTCAAACTGAAGACAACTGAAGGACTATTACAAAGGGTGAAACACTGACTGATGCTGGAGAAGACGTTAAAGGGTTAGTTCACCCACAAATTTAAATTAGTCCATAAATTACTCACCCTCAAGTCATCCTAGGTGTATATGACTTTCTTCTTTCAGACGAATCCAGTCGGAGTTATATTAAAAATTGTCTTTGATCTTTCAAGCCGTTTCATGGCACTCAGCGGGTGTTGCATGCATCAGTCCAAAAGAAGTTAAATAAAAAGCGCCCATCCTTAAAAAAAGTGTCTCACACGGCTCCGGGGGGTGAACAAAGGCCTTCTGTAGTGAATCGATACGTTTTTGTAAGAAAAATATCCATATTCAAAACGTAATAATCACTTTAATGTAGCTTGCGCCAACAGTTGTACATGGAAGCAGTTCCGGGCTGATGAGGTATGAGGTCAGCATTGCGCATGCGCCGGTGAGTCTCGTGAAAACCAACGTTTGTTAACAGGAGCAAAGGAAGCAAAGTTTACTTACTTTAGCAAAGGAAAACCAGTCTCCTCTTGGCTTATATCGAAATCCTCCGACATTCTTCTTTACAAATCCTCATTTTGTACCTCTAATTAGTGAATGTTGTTTTGTTTTGATCTCTCCGCTGCGTTTCTGCGTGCGTCACTTCTGAGCGGCGCATGCGCAAAGCTGACTTCATATGTCATCCGCCCGGAGCTGCTTCCGTGTAGGACTTTTGGTGCAAGCTACATTAAAGTGATTATTACGTTTTGAATATGGATATTTTTCTTACAAAAACTCATCGATTTCCTACAGAAGGCCTTTGTTCAACCCCCGGAGTCGTGTGAGACACTTTTTTTTTTGGATGGGCGCTTTTTATTTAACTTCTTTTTGACTGATGCATGCAACACCCGCTGAATGCCATGAAACAGCTTGCAAGATCAAAGACAATTTTTAATATAACTCCGACTGGATTCGTCTGAATTAAGAAAGTCATATACACCTAGGATGACTTGAGGGTGAGTAATTTATGGGCTACTTTTCATTTTTGGGTGAACTAACCCTTTAAGAGCAAGAGGGATGTAAACTTTTGAACAAGGTGACTGATGTTTTTATTTTGTTTAAAGTTCTCACTTTTTTCATTTAGAACTTAGTTTTAGAAGTTATGTGAGGTGTTTACTTGCTTCTCAGAAGACAAAATAATGACTTTAACTTTTTTTTTAATTATTCATAAACTACTTTTTTGTCATAACATTTTTTGTCTGCAGTAAACCCAAGTCTTTGGCTGGGGAAATGGTCATTTTCTTCTTAATGAGCTGTTTCTTTCTGAAATACGTCACATTACACAAGTGTTACACAATGTCTTATAGAGTGGTGCAGTGATTATGTATTTATGTAGGCCAACGCAGAAGTAAGCATCATCCTGTTTTCCTCCGAAAAAATCAACATGATTTTTCCTTTGATTTTTTAATTAAAATAAACTCTGTAACCAAAAAAGGTTTATGATTTTTTTTGCGTGTTTTGTGCATCATGAAAATCTAATGACGTTTAAATGTTCCTGACAACCTCCATTGTCCCTTTGGCCCTGTTTACACCTGGTATTAAGATTGGTCAACTTTCTTGATTCCTTTGAGGGGAGGGTCTATGGGCGGGTGTATGTATGGGCTTATTCTGATCTAATATTGTGGAATAAGCTTGCACAATTAACATATGAATGTGAAAGGGTACAACAGAAAATTATACGGCAAGCAGCAGCTTTCATTTGTGTTAGAATCAGGACATGTGAGAGAAAATTGTGCTTTTTCACCTTAAAACTTGATTTCAAATGATTTCAAAAGGCAAAATTTAAATCCTGTCAGTCTAGCGTGCTTCATGAATACATTCCGTAATGTTTTAGAATTAGGTCAGTAGGCAGAGAGGAGGCACTCTTTAGTGGCTGTTCAAATGCATTTGACCACATGAGCATCTACACTTACAAGCTTAAAAGGTTAGTTCATCCATAAATTAAATTTCTGTCATTAATTACTCACCCTCATGTCGTTCCAAACCCCGACCCTGTATTTAGTGTTGTCCACTTGTGATTGGAACGACAAAAAAATTTTGAAAAACTCATCGACTTGGACAATGTAAGAGGTAGTGCTAAAATGCTAACTCGTTTGCGAGTTTTGGCCTTTCAAAAAATACAGGTAACACTTTAGATTAAAGAACACATATTTACCATTAACTAAGGGTGATGATACACTGGGCAACTTTTTGAACAATGCTGCCAGGCAACTTTGGGAAATGTTGCCATCAACGGGCCCCGTGTATCATCAGCCTTAAGAGTTTCCCCTCAAAAACTCCTAATTACTGCTTAGGTAGTTGTTTTTGTAGTTATGTTTAGGTATGGGGTAGGTTAAGGAATCTAGAATATGGTCATGCAGAATAATGCATTAATATGTGCTTTATAAGTACCAATATACAGACAATATGCTGGTATTATGCATGCTAATAAGCCAATGGTTAATAGTGTTTCCTAATCTAAAGTGTTACCAAAATACATCATTCCATGCCCACTCGTAGATACGCTCAGTTCTGTATACTGATGTTCATTTTTAAAGAGACTGCATTAAAGGCCTGAGCTTTTCAAGGACATGTACTCCAGTGGCTGGGGAGGACATTGTGTGATGGTATTCTAGTGAGCAGCGCTTAACACATATGGGCTAAAAGTGATGATGTCTGCAGAGCTGCTGGAGCCTTCTGGGGCCTGTAGCTACATGCTGACAGGCCTCGTCAGGAGTGTTTAGTCAAAGGTTGCACCATGTTTTTTACGGGTGACATTAGAAAAGATGACATTTTAATCTCTGCAATTGCCAAAGGGCCCTGCAATCCACCACCCCCGGAACATGCTGAGAGAGTCGGGACCAATGAACAACTTTTTTAAGCCTGGAGTGAGGGGGTATGCGTGTCTTTGTGGTAACAAATATGTGTGTGCCTACTTTGTGTGCGGCATTTACGGGAGACTTAGTGTATGATTTTAAGTGGGAGTTTTGACATGCGTCTCTCACTGTGAATACTAAGAGGTCTTTTGTACTCGGCGACCCACTGCTGGTTCACTCTGGGTAGCCCACTTCACTGGCCTCCAGGGCACGAGCGCAATGGCTGTGACACACATGTGCTGGCACCCAAGTCGGCCTGCAGTTATGGCTCATCCGAATGAAGGCTGCTGTTAGCTGTGTAATGTGCTTGCTTTATAACATAGAATAGACTAAGTCACGGACGACAGCTCTCCCCATAGATGCTGAGTAACTGGAGGATTAGTCACAAATACAACCTAAAAAAAAAAAAAAACTGTCACTCCAGAGAACTAAACAAGCACTTTGGAGCTGGAGGGAAATGGACCAGTGAGGGGGAATATTCAGTGAGTCACAGTCTCTTGAAAATTATATGTTATGAGTCTAGCATTTAATATTGTTCATATTATTTTACACACACACATATATACATATTTTTCACAAATAAATTATTAAGGTTTCTTTAATTTTTTTTTCTTTAAGATTTCTTACATTTTCTTTTTGATCTTTCTTTTTTTTTTCTTTTTTGCTACATTGAGTCATTAGGCTTCAACAATGAACTGAACATGAATGCTGTCAAAAGAAAGAAGTGTTTGTGTTCGTCTTGTCTTAGAATGATCAGAGCTCCGTGGACAAACAAAAGCGCATAATGAGGAATGTAAATGAAAATGACCCCCAGGGAAGTGATGAAAAGACGACAACATGCATCTTGGAATGTGTGGGACAATCAAAGCTGACAGGGAGAAAATGAGGGTGTCTCCAGTAAACACGCAATCCCAGTGTGCATCTCTCTTTTGTCTCGTCCTGGGCATCGAGAGACTGAGAGCACTGGCGGTTTCATAAACGACTCTAACTATTTTTTTTGTTCTGATTACACTGAGACTGAAAAACAAGCTAAATCCGATCCAACATAACTTTTTTCTCCTCAATCCCTTTCTCTTTCTCTCTTTTCATCTTGCCTGTCGTACTGCGGGGTTGTTTGTGACAGCTCTGTCTGTGTAGTCTTCGGTTTAGCCGATCCTTGTGGACACCTAACTCAATATCACTAAAGTTTCTTTCTTCCTCAAATGTGCTGCCAGTAGACTTTTCCCTGAAACAGGCTTTTTAGTTCAAAGAAAGTGGAAATTGATTGCTGTTTGGCCCCGTTTTGTCTTTGTTGCCATCCTGCAATGACTGTTTCGGGCTACAAGATTATTCATTGTGTGTGATTGAAAGCCGCCTGTCAATAGCTGACCTGCTCAACACTTACAGAAAGAAAGAGAGACACAAGCTTTACCTGTGGGGTTAAAATGGCCTTTTCAACATTGTTCACCAGACGTAATGCTCTTCAATATATCTATTACTTTTTGTTCCTACATCTGCTTTTAACTGCTTTAGCCTTGTGTGTGTGTGTGTGTGTGTGTGCCACTTTTCATTATTAGGAAACAAGTAAATATATCTAAAAATGTCTTTATGAGTAAAGGCACTGGCCTTTAAGATAAAAACTAGACTATCTACTGCATGTTATGCTGGATGCTGGAATAATAAGACGCTGAAAATAGTTATAAATCAGTTACCTAGTATTTTGAGCTCTGCGCTGGAGTAGATGGCTCCATACTTGTTCTCTGCGATGCACTGGTACATTCCCGAATCAGCCTGCTGTAGTCTGTGAATGATAAGCTCCCCATTCACCATTTCCACTCTGCTCTGTGGGGAGACGACAGTTGCTTTAGAACCACGTGTTCACCTGTCAGGCTGCTCCTCAAAGCATATTTAATGTCAATTACACATCATCTGCCAGAGTGACTCCAGCATGAGACCTTTATATGTCACAAGTGATATGTCATTATACTACCACTCAGTGATATGTTTTGCATTAAACAACAGTTAGTTTTGGTTCTCGAATCTGATTGTTCAAACTGCTTTCTAATAGTGCTGATTGAGTGATTTTTAGAGGACCATTTTTTTTCAAAATGTTGGACCGTCTACCTATGTAATGCAAGAGTGTATGTAAATAGGTTCAATGGTACCACAAGCTTACACTGTGATGGCCAAGCATTTGTGAGTTGCTTGCTTGCAAAAGGTATGTTTCTGGCCTTAAACAAAAGTCTCCATTTGAGAAACAATTGAAATATTAAACAGATCTCAGAATCAGCCTGCTGTAGTCTGTGAATGATAAGCTCCCCATTCACCATTTCCACTCTGCTCTGTGGGGAGACGACAGTTGCTTTAGAACCACGTGTTCACCTGTCAGGCTGCTCCTCAAAGCATATTTAATGTCAATTACACATCATCTGCCAGAGTGACTCCAGCATGAGACCTTTATATGTCACAAGTGATATGTCATTATACTACCACTCAGTGATATGTTTTGCATTAAACAACAGTTAGTTTTGGTTCTCGAATCTGATTGTTCAAACTGCTTTCTAATAGTGCTGATTGAGTGATTTTTAGAGGACCATTTTTTTTCAAAATGTTGGACCGTCTACCTATGTAATGCAAGAGTGTATGTAAATAGGTTCAATGGTACCACAAGCTTACACTGTGATGGCCAAGCATTTGTGAGTTGCTTGCTTGCAAAAGGTATGTTTCTGGCCTTAAACAAAAGTCTCCATTTGAGAAACAATTGAAATATTAAACAGATCTCAGAGATTTATTTTTCATATTAGTGAGCTGTGTGTGTGTGTGTGTGTGTGTGTGTGTGTGTGTGTACCTGTGAGTTGAGAGGTTCTCCGTTGCGCAGCCAGCGATATGTGGGCCTGGGTTTTCCTGTGGCTCGACACTCCCAATGGAGCTGCTCTCCGCTGTCCAGTTGAGTGTCATTTATCATGCTGATCCACTGCGGCAGAGCTGTGCCAGGAACACAGAGGAGACAAGGAACATATGCAAGATCAGGGCTTAACTGCAAGGATTTTTTCCCCTTCAGATTTGTACTTGTCGTGGTGAAATTTGCAACAAAAAAAATAAAAAAAACATAAATAAATAATAAAAAAATAAATAACTGTATTTTTTTGCAATAACAATTAAAACACCTATTTCACAATAAATAAATAACCACACTGAAAATGTAAAATAAATTGTAGGATTTACAATTTTCACTAAGAAATGAATTTACCTTAATTTGTGCAAAAAAAAAGTATCTGCATGTAACATACTGAATTAAAAATGATTTTTTTTAGGTAGAAAGACTGAAATTGTATTTTCTTGTAAAACACAATCCAACAGTCTTTGTTTTATTTAAAAATTTGATTTTTTTTTTTTTTACACATTATATTGCTATTTCTGGCATGGACAATATAGACCATTACCTAGACTGGCAGCAGCTATAATTGTGTGACAAATACATTTTCATTAACAAGAGTTTTTTATTTATTTACCCCCCCCACACACACACACAGATAAAAACGAGATGCTAACTATACAAAAACCAGTTTTGAATGCATTTTTTTTTAATTGTTAGGAATGATTTTGGAAGAGATCCAGCATATGAGTACTGTGTAGAGTTCTTTTTTGCACCTTTTTGTGTTTGAATGGACAAACACACACACACAGAATTATGTCAGAATGTTTGTTTTGGTGAGTATTCACTATTCAGTATTGGATGAGCATTAGTATATTGGATCGGTTAATTGATGCACAATAAACCTATTCGATTTTTGTCAACTAGATCAATCGCGCCATTTTCATGGCATTGTACCCGCTATCTCTTCTGCACACCATTCTCATTGAAAATGAGCTTTTTCTGAGCATCACCCTGTACCTTTTTTCCATTTGAAACACTTTGCCTATGAAAAACATCTCTTCACCTGATAGAAACTAATACAGATAATCACAATATAAAATGCTCCCCAGCTGATAAAATATAATTATCGATAAAAAACTTTGACTATAAACTCTGACTGTAAAATTTGTTAACATGAAGCACAGCTGCAGTTTGTAGGTAGCGTGTGTCACATTGTCCTTTTGCAGAATTAATATGCATGAGAGGATCAGTGGGGAGTGTTTTCATTAAGAATGATGAGCAGAAAAGTTCTGAAAGCAGTGGACCTTTAGTACCCAGCATGCACAGGAAAGTCTTTGAATTTCATGTGAACAAAATTAACAGTCAAATGTTTAGAGGCTTGTTAATTAGACACATAGTATTAATCTTTAAAGCAATCAGACTTAAAATTTTGGTAACACTTTAGTACAGGGACCGATTCTCACTATTAACCTCCTGGGGTCGACAGTTCCGGCGGCGGAACTTTTTGCAGATTTGAATGATGACAGCGAAAAGAACTAAAATGCTCCTTCATACTTGACCGTACATATAAGAGTAATACAGCATTTAAATCTGTAAAGGGTCTACTTTTATTTGTGTACACTCACAATATCAACAAAACATTGTGCTTTTGCAAAATAAAGAAAATAAACAGGGTGTGCTTTTAGCCGTCTCATTCTCCGCTGGACCACAGCTAAGACCATGTGATGCACACACGCCCATGAGTTATTTTATGTGATAGTTATATGTATTCTAAATAAACTACAAACAAAAAATATATAAATTTCTTTTTTCCTCACATTCTTTCTTGTAGCAATTCCCTCTCAGTCACACACCTGACAGCTCATTATGCAGCTCTTTATGCAGGCCTTTGTCTTCTCAGGTGTGAATCACAGCATTATTCATGATCATTCACGCCTCCTCGCATATTCCTTTTCTACACAAAATGTGTCTTAGAAAATTTTAATCAATATATTGTTTTCTGTGAATGAGTGAGTAAGATGATTTTCACATAATTTTGAAGCAAAAACTCTAGACTTCAAGATCCAGTTCTCAACAGTCTTGTGATCAAATGTTCTGTATGTGTTTTATGGCCTTATTTCAGTGACTTTAAAATTGTAGTTTTTCACTAAGCACGCATAAACGTTGTTTTCTCAAAAACACAATCGCATACATACATGCTGCCAACATATTATTGTAGCCCAGTTTGTGCTGATTACAGTGTTATTAAACTTTAGACATTCAAATGTTTGTAAGCAACTGAAAAAAGCACAAATGTCAGGGCATGTCAAAACTTTTCCAGGCCCCAAAACACCCTCGGACCCCAGAGGGTTAAAGGTCCTTGCACACTAAGTCCGAAATTTTCGCATTCGTTTTTCAGTTTTTTTAAAATTTCATATTCATCATCCTTTCCTAACAAACTGCATTCTACGGATGTGAAAATGCAAAAAATCGAACCTGATCCGAATTTTTTTATGACGGACGAAAGTTTTGGAGGCAGTGTGTAAACATGATTGGCACAATGTGAGGTCGTATTTATTTTTCAACATGCAAAAATTTTGGACGAAAATTTCGGACTCAGTGTGCAATGGCCTTAAGGATGTAGATTATGGTCATGCAGAATGTGTGCTTTATAAATTCTAATATGCTAGTAAAATGCTATGTAATAGCCAATATGCTAGTAAAATGCATGCTAATAAGCAACTAGTTAATCCTACCCAATACCTAAACTTAACAACTAAATTTCTTACTATTAATAAGCAGTAATTAGGAGATTATTGAGGCAAAAGTTGTAGTTAATAGTTAGTTAATAGTGAGACCTGGACCTTAAAATAAAGTGCAACCAAAATGTTCATCTTGTGTTAATTGCATGTGGTTCAGAGAAAAGCAGAGAGGAAAGGTGTGGGTAACCTCTGGCAAAGGCATGGGCTCCTTGAGTTAAAGCTCTTGGACATGGCAATAAAACTTACTGCTTCCCACTATCCACACCACTATTCCTCACTCCAGACCCACAGCCAGGACAATAATGGCAGGCCACAGCCTTGAGGAGGATGCACACCCCTTCCCTGTCGGCGGCCCCCGACTCGTTGCTCACCCAGAACACGCAAGCCGATCTGCGGCTGCTACACGTGACATATAATTCACACAAGCTGCGGCAGATGGCTAACCTGCTCTGAGAGAGAAGCTCGCTGAAGGCAAGCCTTCAATCACATCTGTCGAGAAAAAAGGGGCTTGCAGACTGAATTGGGTGTATGCAAATTGTAAGAGCAGACATGTGTCCGGAATACAGTTTGCAGGTGAAGGTAGGAAGGTGGAGCCTTCCTCCAAGATAATTTTAAAGTTTGACAGTGGAGGCCAAAAGAATAAGTTACAAACGCATGCTAATTTTCAATAGCAAACACCTCTTAAAACCACTTTAAAACATACTGAACTTTTGTAACTTTTTTTTTCACATACTCAAACTTTCTTGCTGACTCCCACATACCATAGTAATTCATAATGTCATTCATCATGAAATACCACATTTTTCAATATTTTAAAAGGTGCTGATTTGGGTTTTCATATGTTTATTTTACTCATGGCTGTGATGTCATTACTTAGATTTCTGAAGGGTCCTTACTCACAATTTAGTTTCCATAAATGGTCTAGGTGGACTGGAAAGAGACTTCTCCTTATAAGCGTCCAATAATGTCTGTTAATTAAGGGACTTGATGTATATATTTAGAAGGATTTTGATGGTAAAAAGTGGGCGTTATATTCCAGCATGGAGCCAGATCTGAGTAAAGTAAAAATAGTATTCTCTTGTGAGTACTTTGTGAGTAATTTTGTGGCTTTGTGATTGGGACATGGAGGTTAAAAGTCAAGTTTACTCTCCAACTCAAAATATCAAACATGCTTGATATTCTCTGACTGGATGAAATCATAGTCTGAAGTTAAAAAAAGTCATACACTATGTGATTTTCTGTGTAATCTGTCAATTCCAACTGCCCAAAATCTGTAGATTAGCTCTGATTTTTGGCAACAAGTGTTGACACCTCCAGCCTGTAAATTGGGGCACACATCTGAGCTAAAGTTGTGCCTTGTGTTTCAGCCTTAATAGCTCATTCATGAAACAACAACAACAAATATAACTGATAACTGATGATACTATTATGTTTACTGTATGCGTGTCATCTGCCGCTTTGAATACTCAAGCTCTTTAAAGTCAGGTAGATTCTAAATGGTTCTTAATGCTTTTATTCTTCATCAGCTGCAAAACATAATTCTGAAATTGCTTAAAATAATATTGTTCCTCTGTGTCATTATAATTTTAGCTGTGGTGTGGATTTTGCTATTCTCATAGAATAAGAACAATTGCTAAAACTTTACAGTTATCCTTATAGTTATTGTTCTTGGCTATTGTTCTTGTCTCCACTGCTAAAATGACATACTATCATAACAAAATTAACAATTCGTCTAACTCTCACATGCTCTTTAAAAAATTTCCCTCCCTCCTTTGTCCTCCTCCTCCCCCTCCTTCATCAACTCTAACAGCTGATGACTTTGCCACGTTCTTCATTAATAAAGTAAAAACCATCAGTGCACAATTTTCCACACCACAATCTGTCAAGCACATCTTACCAGCAAACATACACTCTTTCACATCCTTTTCTTCACTCTCTGAGGCAGAAGTCTCCAAACTCATCCTTTCTAATCATCCTACTACTAGTCCACTTGATCCTATTCCATCTCATCTCCTTCAAGCCATTTCTCCTGCAGTTGTAGCTGCACTCACTCATATAATTAACACATCCCTTCACACTGGTGTTTTCCCCTCAGCATTTAGACAGGCTCATATAACCCCACTACTTAAGAAACCCACCTCTTGTAGAGAACTACAGACTGGTTTCCCTTCTTCCTTTCATTGCAAAAACACCTGAACGAGCTGTGTTCAACCAAGTCTCTGCCTTTTTCACACAGAAAAACCTCCTCGATAGCAACCAGTCTGGTTTCAGAAGTGGACATTCAACCAAGACTGCCTTGCTCTCAGTTGTTGAAGCCCTAAGACTGGCAAGAGCGGATTCCAAATCTTCAATACTTATCTTGTTGGATCTGTCCGCTGCTTTTGACACAGTTATCCACCAGATCCTCAACCCTATTGGCAAAGGGCATCTCAGGAACCACACTCCAGTGGTTTGAGTCTTACCTCTCAGATAGGTCCCACAAGGTATCTTGGAGAGGTGAGGTGTCCAAGTCGCAACATCTAACTACTGGGGTGCCTCAGGGCTCAGTTCTTGGACCACTTTTCTTCTCTGTCTACATGGCATCACTAGGTTCTGTCATTCAGAAACATGGCTTTTCATATCACTGCTATGCTGATGACACTCAACTCTACCTCTCATTCCATCCTGATGATCCAACGATAGGCTGCTCACATCTCTGCTTGTCTAACAGTCATTTCTTGCTGGATGAAGGACCATCACCTTCAACTCAACCTTGCCAAGACTGAACTGATTGTGGTTCCATCAAACCCATTGTTTCATCACAATTCATCACAAGTCCACGCTGACTTGCACTTTATGAATCACCAAGGACTATGGTTTCTGCTAAAAATCTTCTTTACTATTCTACTGAAGAAAAAAGTCACCTGCAACATCTTTGATGACTTGAGGGTGATGAAATTAAGAATTTTTTTGGGGTGAACTATCCCTTTAACAGTTCTACTCTAAAATACTACTAAAATAATTCAAGAAGAGTGGCAGGACATCACACACATGTACTGAACTAACAGAGAGAGCACAATTAAAGTATATTTGGACATTGTTGTGACGGATAAGACAAACAGCTGTTGTTCTGTCAAGCTTTGTTCAGCCAGACTGTGTGATAAATCATAGATCCCAGTGACAGTCATAAACCTCTTAAAACCAGGTTTTCATAAAACCACTGGGACACTGCATTCATCTTGTGGCCTACTGATACACTTACTTTTATGACATAACACACTTCATCTAAGTCACAAACTCTATTGGACGGATAAAGAGAGAGTAGTCTGTGAAAGACGAATGGAGGTCCCAGATTCCCATATCAGGCCTCTCTGTCAAAGCTACGGTGGGTCAGGGGAAATATGTGGGTCAAAAAATATAGCATTTTCAGATACGCAAGCATGAATAATGATAAAATAGCCTCTAAAATTTAATTGGACAAAAGTCTTCTGAGGACAGAGCCATTTTGTCCTCGCAAAACTTTGACAAAAATGTAAGCTGGCCAACTTTGCTTAAATTTATACCTTCTGTCATAAAGGCCAGTCAGAATTATGCCAAAGAGAGTGAGTGTATGCCCAGTGGAATAATTTATGAAGGAACCTAATCAGAAATGGACCCAACGGATCCTGTTCCCACACTACTGCGACACATTACTTCAAAGCCTTTTTTACAAATAGCTCTTACATTTTTACATTTTCTGAAGAAAATGTGAGTAGTGCTCGTCCACCTAAAACTAGGGTGTTCTGGGTGGCTGCAAAAGCATTGCTAAAGGGTTTTGTGATGTGGATGGATGTTATAATAGAGCAGAGGTCTTCAACCCTGCTACTGGAGACCCACTGTACTGTAGCGTTTAGCTCCAACCCTAATTAAACCAACCTGAACCAGATAATCAAAGTCTTTAATAATGCTTGAAAATCATACATCAGTGTGGTGTGTTGAAGCAAATTGGAAAGAAGCATTGTAGAATAGTCTGTCTTTAGGAGCAGGATCGAAGACCTCCACTATAGAGCCCATCCTGAAGTTTCTATGATAGTCTGGTCCAGGGATCAGTATCTTAGATTTTTAAGGTATGTTTAATTGGGAATACAGCTAAACTCTGCAGGACAGTGGCCTTCTAGAGCTGGAGTTGCCCATACCTGGTTAGATCTCTATATATTGCATCTTCAAGATCTCAAAGAAATAGCACATCTCCCCCAATAAGTCAGATCATTTGAGTCATCGTTCAAGTCCGTAAGATAAACTTGCCTTGGCTTTCACCATTATCAATCCCCCACTCGCTCATTTACATTTATTCATTTAGCAGACGCTTTTAGCCGCAACTTACAAATGAGTAAAATGAAGTGATTCACACTGCCCATTCTGTTTCTCTTATTACATATAATCCTAAAGAACTTTCCTTTTTAATGATCTGGTTGCACAGTTTTTTAGAAGCAAAGCTGTACTCACTGTAGACCTGGAGGTGTCCTCTGAACGCAGTGCCTCCTCTGGTGTTCTCAGCTTTACACTCATAACTCCCAGAATCCTCTAGCTGGATGTTGGGGATCTCGAGAACAGCTTGTGATTTGCGCAGACGGGCTTTTTTGGGGATGTTCCCACTCATCTTCCTCCAGGTGATAGTGGGGACAGGACTGAGAAAATAAAATATATATAAGAAATAAATTTTTAAAGAGGTAATATGTCATTTTTTGATGCTCTAATAGTTTATCTTATCCCAGCTTATCCCAGTTTGTTTGAGAATATTAACTAGCGTGACTTTGGCTCAACCAATAGTGTGATTTTAGGGTGGGACTATCTGTTTCTCTTTCCAACTGCAGTTGAGGGGAGCGTTCAGAAATCCGTTTTGAAAAGCTGTCATTATTTTTGCGATAGAGCCCTTTTTTCCCCGGAAATATTTGTAGCATTTATTTTCTCCACTAAAAAAGGAGTCAAACAGTGTCAAAGAATTCTTTGCTTTGATATGAACCACAACATTACAACCTTTGATTTGAAGCAAAAAGAATAACAAAATAAAAATAAATAAATAATAATAAAAAATAAAATAAATGTTTTAATGTCAGAATTTTTTTTACAAGACTGTGCATTTAACATGTTTTATAAGTGAATAAATCCAATCAAGCTAAAGACATAAATCAAACAAATCTGTTGTTCATTGATTGTTATAAGTGTAAAAACAATATAATTTAAGTTTTTGTAAAATATTCAAACATACTTTTAGTTGATTTGATTAATTTGCAGTGCTTCATGGGAGTGGGCGTCACTGCTGAATACCAATGAATGCCAAATAATTGGCAAGGTTTTAAAGGTAACAGCAACCTCTTTTATTGGTAGAGGAGCTCTTCAGGAGGTAGAGCATTTCCTTACCAGGAATTTGACTTTTACATACAATTGTATTTTTTAAAAAATTTTTGAAATCACTGTGACTTGTGGCTTTTACTGAAGCATAAATCATCACCTAACAACATCACGAAACCCAGCTGTTGTGATCCAATCTATCTGGCGAAGCACTGTAAACAGTATATACTTCATCTAAAAAAAATAAAAACCTTTCTAAAAGCAATTCCTTTATCTCTGCCCAAAACGTGTATCTGATAGTTTGTAAAGCTGATACCGTGGTCTTTTTGAAAGTACGAACAGGACAATCTGATATGGCCAGCTCTCTGTAAGTGGCTGTGTACTGGGTAACACAATAAACGTCTAGATAGCTGTGTAGATAAGCAGTATTTGTTCTCTGCCATTCATCCCTATTTGTGGCTGTGACGGGCGTGTGATATGACCTCCTAGGTGCGGCACCCGCGCGTAGATAACCCGCTCTATCAGACACGATCAGCACTGCTACATAGTGACAGCTCCATTTCACAGCTTTCCAATGATGGAAATGTGACGCCGAGGAAAACCAGCATCAATCATCCGCAGGGCCTTCGATAAAAACTTCACATTTCTGAGTCCTTTTGTCCCTCTACATCCGCATAAATGGTACAAGGAAATTTATCCACACAGAATGAAATTTCTGTCTTATCAGTTTAAATCACAATGGGTCTATGATAAAACTCATGGGGTCATTTAAGTTGTAAAATAAAAATTTAGTCTTCAGTGATTTAATTTTGAAGTGTAATTTTAGATATCAAGTGCATTGCTAGATGTCGATATTATTTGTCTATCTCATATGATTACTAATCAAACAAAAAGTTCTGGTTTTGAATGTTGATCTTAAAAAAAAGTACATGTAAATAAATATTTAAAATGTCATATTTGATACATCATGCTCTTATGTCTCATATAGTATGATATAGAAGAAACTGAGCAAAATATGCAATTTTGTGCAGTTGCTTATATATATTTGGCCAAAAAGTAAGATGAAATTGTGATTGCTTATAATAATTTATAACTGCATAAAATGCATATAAATATTAGTTGTCACTGTATATTTCCCAGTGATGTCTTAGTGAGATGATATTTGATATTTAAACTTTTTATGACCAGAGCTCTGTGAATAATCAAGTAAACATATTTATATACAGTATATAAAGCCTGTAAAAGTTTGAGTAAAAGTATCAATAATTTTTTTTCAAGGTTAATTTAATTTTAAGGTTATTAAAATTTGAAATCAATTCAATTCATTCTAAATTACACAATAATTAGCATTCATATTGTTTGTATAACCCTGAAAATGTTCAAGAGCAAATCATTTGAATTAAAAAAAAAATCATAACAAAATATCTAACCATTATTTCTTAAGTGGTGTGAGAACCATCCAGAAAGGTTATACCTTCAGCAAAATGCCAGCATGCATGCTCTCTTGTAGCCCCAGTAACATTTTCGGCACCAGACCCATTGGCCATTATAAGCTGGCAGTTTGCCTTTGAAAGTGTACGGTACAATGCCGGCTCTGAAAAGCATCCCTGCAGACATTTCGGGCAGACCGCCTGCGCTACTGACAATAAACGCTCTAGCCTTTTCACTGCACACACTGCCAAGCCCTTAGTCGCCCTGACTGTTAGGTTGTCATACATGCTGAGTGACAGCATGAGACTAAAAGTAATTCTTAGTTCAGTTTAGTTCATTATGAGGAGTGGCATTTTCTAATAACGTGCACTGATAAATAATTTATTTGTGGGTAAGGGGGGCGAGGCCTAAAGTTCACCGGAGGATTCGCTATCGGCACTAAATGAGCTGAGAACGAACGGAAAAGCCATTGGTGAGATCTCAGTGATTTCTCCATTCACTGAGCAGAAAGCTAAGAGTCTGTAAAGTTTAATTGGACTAAGAGAGAAGCCAACAGGAATACATAGATTAATGTCTAGGTTTAAGTAATGACTTATTATTCTAATGTGGATAATTAATTGTAAACGACATTTCCTCACATAGGGGTCCTTGAAGGCACTGTAAACAATTACTGGGCCCTTAGAACAGTTTGGCTTAGAAGGTGTTTGCGCTTGATAGGCTTTGCATTTGAATTATTCATTACAAATAACAAACGCAAATAGAATTACAGCACGATGACACTGGATTATGTATTTAAAATGCAGAATCGCACTTCCTTTATGCAAAACGCCTTATCAGTTCTGTTAAGCTACAAACTGAGAATCCCAAAGAAAGTTCTACAGAATGTAACCTGACAATGACAAATAAAGCAGAAAATAACACAAACACAATGTTAACAAAATTAAATTTCTCAGTATATGATTTTTCTTTTTTTTAATTTTAGCCTTTTTATTTTTTATAAGACAGTCAAAACAGAACAGTAACATATGGAGAGAGGGAATTGAATGTCAAGCATCAAGGACTGATTTATTATTGTTATTATTATTATTACATTTGACAATCAGAAAGCACCAAAACCTTTCATTTTGAATATATATATATATATATATATATTTTTTTTTTTACATATACATTATATAGAGTTTTCTGTGAAATATTTTACTTGAAAAGTAATACCTCTGTGGTTCATATTTTGTTATATTAATGTACAATGATATCAAAAATCTTCCAAAAAGCATTGAACTCAATCAACCACTCCAGCATCCTCTAGACATCAACATCTGCATTCGCTGGTCACACTTTATTTTAAGGTCCAATTCTCGCTATTAACAAACCTTTATGACTTTTACCTCCTAATAATAAACTCCTAATTTGCTGCTTATTAATACTTAGTAAAGTAGTTGTTAAATGTAGGTATTGGGTAGGATTAGGGATGTAGAATATGGTCATGCAGAATATGGGCTTTATAAGTACTAATAAACAGCTAATATGCTATTAATATGCATGCTAATAAACAACTAGTTAATAGAGAGAATTGGTCCCTTTACTAAAGTGTTACCCATTCGCCTATATAATATCTAAGCAATCTGTTTTATTTTTCTATTTAATTCTAGAGAAACAGCCTTCATATAGCCTCATATATATGCTGTTAACTAAAAACAAACCCAAAGTTATGGCAGCTGTTTCTGCTCAAGAAAAAACAGAGAGCATGTTTTACATGATCTCTTTATGTGTAAGCGTGCAGCATGGCATGGCGAAGCACATCTTAAGCATGTATGGGAAAAAGCCTCCTCAGTCCATCATTTAGAATCAGTGCGCTGCGCTGACTGAATGTTAGAGTGCTTTACTGCCTTCCGGCTGTGGGTCTGTACCAGCCACTTTCATTTCTCACTGTGCTATCCTTGACCATATGTGAACAGAACAGATATTAAAAGCATCCTCCAAACAATGGCATGTACAGACTCTCAAATCGCTCTCCTCCCTCGCAACCCCTGGCCCTCACCCTCTGCCGCCCCGTACAACTATTACGAGAATATACAGCTCCCAGGGGCCGAATCTCAGCACTATTTCTACACCAATCACAGCGAAATTGCCACTATATCAGTTATGGCGCAGAGTTCAATACTTGTGGAGAGCTCATTTAACAGCAGAGCGGAATTGGGAGTAAAAATAGCTATCCTCTTGGTACCATCTCATCTCTGGAGGACGCATTCTGCTCTCTATTCTGAAAAGAAAGTGGTTTGACTGGTTAAATTGGTCGTAATTATGATTATTAATGATTCCAATAGCAAAAGAGGTGTTTCAAGGGAGCGACGGTGCATGTTCTGCCTTTGTGTGATAGAAAGGCACCTTCAGGTGGCGCAATGTCGGGAAGCCGTCTGGGTGGGGGTGGGCTGATTATGCCAACATACTTACTTCCCAAGGGCAAAGCACTCCAGCCTCACTGTGACGCCTTTGGCTGCCAGCACCGTCTGGGGAAAATGCGCTTCAATTTTGGGCTCGTACTCCCCCATCACTCCTAAAAAAATAAGACATGCACAGAGGTAAGTGTACATATAGTTTTCACCATATATTATGGGATGACTCTAAATGGAAGTTCAGCATGTGCTAATTCACATCCTTATGCTATACGCATTACAAAAAGGATGCATTTAGCTGTCAATGTAAAAAAAAATACAATTTACAATATTAATTACAATTCAATTTAGCTTGTACATATTTTGTTTACTAAGAATACCAGTAATAGCAATACGTTTCACATAAAATATGATTCATTTAGCTGGTTTATGAGGTCGCAGGCTACATTTCCTACTATTCTCTGTGGCAGAGTAATGTTTTGAATACCACAGGCACCTGTCACATGCTATTTGTGTTTGCATGTAAACATTAGCATCTAGTTAAAATCATTACCTTAAAATGCAATTACTTAACAGCTAATGTAAGCAGTGTTAGCCATCTTGCTAACTAGTCTCAGACTTTTACTGCATCCGAATAAGTGCCTATTATATAGTATGTAGAAAATGGTGTGCCAAAAGAGTAGTATCCCTGAATACCAACCAAGGCTCGGTGAAAAAAAAAAAAAGTGAATATGACGACATTTCTACAAAATGATTCTATTGTGCATCTTTTGCATTTTGCAATAAGTGAAATGCCCAGTGAGTGGTGCTAAAAGCGTGCTCAGTTTTATCCAAAACAGATAAACATGAATCTCGCAACGTTGGTCGTACATTGGTTGTTGTATGTATTGCATCAGTTTGAAAATGAACTGTCTAGTTAGTGGCACTAAAAAGTTAATGCTATGATTATCAGTCTTATTAATAGCATTTTAAAATAATGAACCACCTAACCTTACTTGACCATAAACCCAAAGCAAATGTAAGATAACAGTGCATTTGCTATGCCATTTTACCTCGTTTCTTTAAACTTGTACCTGAGCGCTTCACATTGCAAATGTTGCTATACCAGGTGAGCTACAGAGCATGTTTACTACGTTTTCCGTTTCTCCAAATGATTTTTCTATTTGTGTCACCGATGGAGTTTTGGTTCCTTGCCGCTGTCGCCTCTGGCTTGCTTAGTTGGGGACACTTAATTTCCAGCGATATCGTCAACATGATTTCACAGATACTATTTGAACTGAACTGAGATGGACAATGACATCACTGAATCAATGATGAACTGACTTTAACTGAAAATTGAGTGTTTACTGTTTTGCATTATTACACACTATTTTTCCTATTTAATACTGTAAAGCTGCTTTGACGCAATCTGTAGTTAAAAGTGCTATATAAATACAGGTGACTTGACTTGACTACATCCAAAAAAGAATAACAAATACATACGATAAATATGAATACATATGAAGCTGGCTTTATGATACAAGTTTAAAAATGTATTAGTTTATCATACTTTATGGTGTTTTGAGGTCATACCAGTATTGTGCAAGGTACCACATAAAATTAAGCTTTTATTATTCAATAATTTGCCCTGTAATACATTTCTGTGAAAGGGAAATACAAATAAATAAAATAATAAAATAAAAAATGTTTGTGATTTACTACCACTACTGTTCATTTAAGCTGGAAACTGCAGTGAATTGTATGTATAGATACATTTTTGGAGTTTTGCAAAAAAAATGTTAGTACTGCAACTGTTTCAAATCTTCCAGTATCAAAATGTAATGAAAAATCTATATTTTTGACAACACTACCAGACACATACTCAGGTGGTTTAGTAAAGCTCTTATGAAGTCTCCCCCGTTTATGCATGGAACTGACTTGCATTTTATATCCGGCAGAGATCTGAACGCACTTTATCTGTCCCTTAGCACCTTCAAATGTGGTTGTAGTGATCTGATCAGTGCGTCTTGAGTGCATTTACAGCCGGCTTTTAATGCAATCTGATTGTGATCTGCTTGCTGAAGTGAACAGGCATGTTTAAAGGCCTTCGAGTGATTTTATACTGAGATACGTTAGCTCTGCTACACCCGACTCTAAGGGGCAGCACACCTCTAAATATCTCCGTTTGTAGGTGTTGGATCAGCACATTACTCACACCTTTTGCCCCACTCACATGAAATTCCACCTTGGCATCTTCCCGGTTGCTTTTTGGAAGCCTGTACTCATTAATTAAAGCTTGTGACAGGAAGCTTGTGCTTCCTGTGCACTGTGCTCGTGTTTTATTTTTTCTTTTGGTCCGTGTAGGTGCTTTGTAGGTTTAGTAGAGGCCTGAGGTGCTCTTATATGATGGATTACATCGCTCATGAGGACTCTATCACCTGAAATATCCAGAGCAGCTGCTCTAGAACATTGACCTCACAATCAATAGTGCAACAACCCAAGACATTTTATAAATGCGACAACTGCACATATAGCAGCCCCAAAAGGTTAATGGACACTTTAGCCACACTTAAATAGACGTCTTTGCATAATATAATATGATATGATATGATATGATATGATATGATATAATATAAATTCCTTGTATAACATGTTTTGTCCCACAATACAGAACTACAGAGCTTTGATCATAAACTAAGCATTTAAATATCATCTTACTAGGACATATTATTGGGAAACATAGATCAACAACAACTGATATTTATTTATGTATGTAGTCTGCTATACAGTTACAAAGATCTCATTGATTTACAATACAAGCTATCAGAATTTCATTTTTAAATTTGGCCATATAAAATATCAGCAAATGCACCAAATTGCATTTGTTTGCTCTTGAATAATAGTTTTTTTCCTCCCCGATGAGCTCCACATTCTCCTGTATCATACTATACCTGATTTATCAAATTATACTATACTATAATAAATAAATACATAAATAAATACATTTTCTTTCATGTTTTGTTTAAAGGTTCAATAAACGGTCTTATAAAAAAATAGGTTAGCCTATTTGTCCAATCTCATTTGTCAAGCTTTACAGGTTAAAGATGGGTATATGATTCTTAATGCATTGATGACTTCCATCTACTGTACAAGAGTAAACAATCTCCTGGATTTACAATTTAGCACAACAAAGCTCGAGGGATCACAGCAAACAGGTGCCACGGTACGGCAAACCCAGTAGATGCCAGTGACAAAGAGAGGGAATTCTCCACAGTAGCTCGCATGACAAGCTGCTAAACTAAATTATTTTGCAAGTACACTACAGAGGCCGCTGGGAAAACGGGGCGAGAGAATTTGTCCTCAAAACAGCACCACGCTGGAGTCTAATTGATGTGCAGAATTCCGTGGAATGGAGAGGAATCTTGAATGGCTGCATTTCACTTCTGCAGTCGTAGCCGGAGGACACAGATCCTTTGTTTATTCATGCGAATGTTGTGAGGGCCCATCTATATCCATTTGCTGAGAGATATGTCAGCTGGCATTGAGTAAGTCTGCAATTACGAAGGGAAACACTCCCATTCAGGGGCCTAATTATCATTATCAGTCTTATTAAATGGGAAACTGGTGTATGAATTTTACATGAGAAAGTATTTCTTTCCTTTTCACACTTTGAAAAATATAACAAATATTGCAATTGTGCCTTAATCTAGAACATGTCTCGACCACCATTGGTGAAAGTCAAAGATTATAGAAAGTGGGAAACATCCATTTTATGCTGTTTGACACTTTAAACAGCCCTCCAAAATCTTTCCACTGGCATTCTACTATATTTAAGCAATATACACACTTGTGCGATATTACTTTTATTCAACAGTCCAACATAGAAGTAAATAAATAAGTAAGGAAATCCAAACAGTGTCCTAAAGACTTTTTTCAGCCACAAATTCAGGATGTGCCATTACTAGTTCAAGAGATGTGCCAAACTTCTGTTACTCATTTGAAAAGATCAATAGCACTAGAAATGACGTCCATTTCTGAGAAGTTATTGAGATAACAAGAAGGTGGCATGACTGTGTGATATGGCTTTTACAGAGAATAACAATTATATTTCCAAGCAAAGCTATGGTACAACACTTTAGACAGTCACAGTCAATTTTTTCAGTCCGAATGAATCAGCATTTTTTAATGAATTTGCTGAATGAATGATCTAATGATTCATCAAAAGACAGTCACTTGTTTTATTCCTATATATATGAGAAAGAGTGATCCAGTGACTTACTCATAAATACAGTTTCATACCTGAATGAATCAGCATATTTTCAATGAATTGATTGTATGAATGATCCAATGATCCACTTATATATTCACGTTTCCTTCCTGAATAAATTAGTGCTGCTGTATGAATCAGTTGAATAAATGATTCGATGACTTACTCATGCAAAACACTTGATTTATACCAAAATGAGTCAGAATTAAAAAAAAAAAAATTGATTGAAAGAATGATTCAATAACTCACTCATAAAGACAGTCACTGGGTTTGTTCCTGAATTAATCAGTGTTAGTTACATACTTTGTTGTTTCGAACCTAAATTAATCAGTGTTTTGAATTAATTGGTCAAATGTATGATTTGAAGGATTCACTCATAAAGACAGTCACTTGGTGTCATCACCTGCAGAAAGAATCACTAAAATATCTCCACGAATGCACAGACTGACAAAAAAATTAAGCATCAGCGATTTTACAAAGCTGCTTCTGAATGGTCATCAAAGATGATTTTTGCCCACAGACTGCTGTATGCATGGCATCTACTGAACCAGGCCAGCAGGGACTAACTGCTGAAATGAACCAGCCAAACTCTGACCCCTTGCCTACAGCTGTAATCAACAGCACATTTATAACCTATTATATGATAGCAGTCCGTTTTTCCCGAAACAACTTTTCAATTTCAATCTCAATCCCCTTACTTGTTACACATTTATGATTCCAAAGCAATCCCATGTGCATAATGAATTTGCAATATTATATTGGTTTACGCTGCAATGCATTTTCTGTGTATCCTATTTAGTGTCTAGAAGGGCTGAAATTGATAGGACTGAATTCTAGACCAGCTGTGCCAAACAAATACATGAACCCTTTTTGTGTTGCGATGCCAATTTAAAATCACAATTTAATCCATTTATT